AGAGAGAGAGAGAGAGAGAGAGAGAGAGAGAGAGAGAGAGAGAACTTGGATAAGTATTACTGATTTCTGCAGGTCTGTAGAAAAGCAGCTCATGCTTAAATATTTTCTCTCTCCTTTTAAATTTTTAACCTATTTTGCATGCTTATATCTGCTAATCTGAACAACTACTTTGAAGACACAAATATGCAACATAACAACCATTGTTTAACGCCTATAATTGTTTAGTGAAATTCTGCATCATTTCTAATGTGTCTTTCTACTATTTTTTCATTTAAAAAATAGTAGAATTTTTTTAAAAAGCTAATCCACTACGAGCTACTTGGTTTTCTTTTTAGTTCACCTAACTAAGAATGTGACTGATTCCAATCATTCTTTCATGTGAAGCCAAGCTGACAAAAGTAATAGACCACCTGAGCACTGACTGCTGCTGGTGCAGGCTTATAACCTTGTGCCTGGAGGCAGTCAGAAGGCACAGGCTGAAGTTATTTTGCCTTATCTTTTCACATTTGCTTTGTATTTGGAAATGAAGATTATGAGTAGAGTTGGATAAGGGTTGTAAATGCAGCAAGCATCAAAATTCATCTTCTTAGAATACAGTGGAGCCATTAAGAGTGCTGAAAATATTTATATGAATATCTACTGCTTCCTATGTCATCAATGTGTTGAAAGCAAAACTGGTTTAATTATTTCTCTCTTTGAACATTCTTCAAAAATGCATGTGGATTTCCTATAATATATCACCTCTGTTTTAAACACTTCCTTTAATATTCACTTAATGGTATTATTTCTTAGTAAAAAAAAAAAAATCACTGTATGCTCTGGGCACTGCCCTTTGCATGAGATTAGTCCTGCCTATTTATATTAGCAATAAAGGTGTGGCAATAATTGTACAAGTTTTTCTTCCTAATTAACAAATACTCTCTCCTTAGCCAAATATTAGTCAGGCTCCACCAATTCAATTCTCTATAGACTTTGACCTTGAGCTTCAGTGTCTGTCCTTGTCGAGCTTTGATTACCCAGCTGCAACAAAGAGAATCCTGTTAAGTCAGTCCACAGTGAATCTCCCACGCTCTACTCCTGATTGCCTTAATGTGATCTGATTCATTCCCCCTCACACACACACATACACACGCAGTGTCTCCGAGGTAATATCTGACCAGCTTAGTCTGCTTCAGCAAGAATCTGACAAGTTGTGTTAGCCTACACTCTCTTACCCCAATATTTTCTCTTCGTAATTCTTTAACCAATAACCCCACCCTTCACCTAGACTGTAAATTCCCACTTGTCCTTGTTGTATTCAGAATAGAATCTAGTTCTATACTTGTGTCTCTTTTCCCTTGACAATTGCTCTTGAATAAATTCTGTTATCACTTTACTGTTTTTCTTTGACATGCCTTATTATTTTACATTATGTATTGCATTTTCCCATTTTCACCCTCACCTATTCTGAATGAGATTTAATTTGCACAACAGACTTTTGATGGAAGATTTAAAGGGAGAAATCATTAACAAGTGAAACGCTCTCTGATGTAGATGGGATACAGGGGAATAAAAACTCTCAAGAAGGACAGGGTAATTAAGATGATGGAAAAATTATGAAGGTACCAGAGCCACATTAACAGGTGCAGACATTCATCAACTCCATGTGAGTGTGTTTAGCATAAACCTAACACACTGCCAAGTAGCTACAAATGCCTACTGAATCAACATTTTCAAATTTTCAGGTACAGTATATAAAGAAGTATTGTGACTGTCAGCCTTGACATGTCAACTTGAATTGATTAAGAAACACCTAGCAGATTAGTAAAGCACAGTTCAGGGGGCAGAGTGTGTAGATAAATGACATGAAAACCAGAAAACCGAAGGAAGAAGCCCCACCCAAGATATGGGTGGCAACAGCCCATAGGTTTATAACCTGGATGGAATGAAAAAAAAAGGAGCAAAAAAGGAAATGTTCTCCTCTACAAAAGAAGAGCTCCAGTGTTCACAATCACCCTTGAAGATCATGCTCCAGTTTCTTAAGCCTTCCAAAGTAGTCACATTCAACTCTATCAAGATCTTTCAGGCCTTTGACCTGGGACTGGAGCTCCATTCTCTCTCACTCTTCTTCTGTGGCTTCCCTCTTTTGGTGCTGAGCAGTTACTGGATGCCTCGACTCTCTACCCCTTCCATAATAAGACAGACAGATAGTGATAAATATAGATAGATAAATATAGATAGATAAATAGATAGACAGATACATAAATACATGCATACATACATACATAGATTCTTTTCCTCTAGAGAAGCCTAATGGCCTAGGTATGATGATCCCCATTTCTGACCATGCTACTTACTGTTTTCCTCTAGTGATGCAGAAAAAATGAATGTCTAAATTATTCATACTCCCCACATTCATGTCTCCCATTTGACTTCCAATAAAAATAAGGCTTAAAGAGTAAAAGACAAATTTCTTGCCATTGCCTGGAGTGCCTTCATGATATACCCTTGCCTTCTCTCTAGCCTGCTTTTGTGCCACCCACTCCTTACCCCAACCACAACACTGCTGTCCTGGGCTTCTACAAACTGCTATTTTTTAAATATGTGAGAAAAAAAAGTTCAGTATCACTGGTTTTTTGAGAGATACAAATTAAAACAACATGAGATTCCATCTCACCACAAAAGATTGGTTATTATCAATAAATCAACCAATGACAAATGCTGGCAGGGCTATGAGGAAAGAGAACCCCTTCTCCACTGTTGGTTGGAGTTTAGCCTGGTGCAACCACCCTGGAAATAAGTGCAGAGATTCCTCAAAAGGCTAAGATTGGGGATTCCATTTGACCCAGCTATCCACCTTCTGAATATCTTCCCATTAGAATTAAAAACGTCAAACCACAGTGATACATGTGCACTCATGTTTATAGTAGGACAGTTTGTAATAGCCAAATCTTGGAAACCACCTAAATGCCCATCAATTGATTAAACACATAAAGATGTAGTTGTTTTATACAGTAGATTACTACTCTGCCATAAGGAAGAATAAGCTTGAAACATTAATAGGTAAATGAATGCAACTTGAGACTATGCTCTTAACGAAAATAAATTTGACACGTGTAAATATTATGTTGTTTTTCAGGTATGAGAAACTGAAAACTTAAGTAAGGATCAAAATATATATTGTGAAATAAGAAGAAAATGTTTAAATAGAGATGAGAGTGGAAGGGGGAGGGGGAAGGAAAGAAGGGAGAAGTTAAAGAAAAGGGAAAATGAAAACAAAACTTTTGTAAGTGGGGAAGGGAGGAGAGGTGGAAGATAGTGTAGGGGAATGGGGAAAAAAAGAAAGTCATATAGTGTACAGGTACAAATTCTCTATGATCAATGTGGTCATTATGTATTTAAAATATATCAATGAAATCTGATTGGGAAAATAATGTTATTTTCTCAAGCACTGTTCTCTGGCAGCCCATCAGAAGTATCCTAGTCACTCGCTGTATAATTGCTAATATTTTTATAGCACCTGTTGCTGCTGGAATTCATTCTTTTGTTGTCTTCATCAAATAGCTTCATAAGTAGCTAAGACTTTATTTCTTGTATTGTCAGTTACCAGCCCAATACTTAGAATATCACAGGTTTTTAATAAATATTTGCTGACTCTATGAAGGATGAATACCATCTTCACAAATAGAGATGTTTATTTCTCTTGAATGAAGATCTACCAACACAACAATGTTGATTAATCTTCCTTGTCATCCATGTACATTTGAAGCTACAATATAGAGTCAAAAAGACAGAGACAGATCTTTATCAATACTGACATGTAAGTTTAAATTGAATGTCCTATAAATAATGCTTAAATTTCACAGAATTTAGAGATTTATTTATTCTTACTTGCCATTGTGCCCAGGTTAGTTTTGAGAGCTAAGATATAAATTTATCTTTATACATGCACCCAATGAAATGGAATAGTAATGAAAAACATACTAAACAAACACACAATCAAGTAAACTAACTAAAAGGCATTTTGATAAAAAGTAATATAGGGAATGCATTAATCATAATATTAATTTATTTTTGTTATTGTAGCAAGAATGGCAAACCTAAATGATTTATTGATATTAATATTCTGTGTCTGGATCATTTAAAGATTTAAATTAGCATTATCCTCTTAGAAAAATCAGAAGCCCATAGCTTAAGCAACAAATAAAAACCAGCAAAAATATAACAGAAATTATAATGACCAGGAATAATTAATTCTTCAACATTTAAAATTCCCTGATTTATGAGATAGAAGAGCTCTTCTTTTAAGGTCTACAAAAATGCAAGTCAAAGAGATGTACAAATATTAATATAATATTCCACACTGATATTTAAAATATTGTCGATAGGAATGGTAAAATTTTGTTACACTCTAAAAAGAAAACCTTATGTCTCCTGCAACAAACTGGGCCAGCTGTATCTTGCGTGTTTATCATGCTCCTCACCCAAGAATCCATTCCGTTTCACGCCCAAAAATATGAGCTACGTGTTCTGCGTAACAACTTAATCTTCTGCACAGGTGATAACGGAATAAAATTAGCATCTAGCATCTGCTCCCAGCGTTTAGAAGAAGGCTGGCTTATCCCAGTGCTCAGCTCGTTACAACTAAACTATTGCAGTGTGTGAATTTCCACCTTTCTGCTGTGATGAATTCCAATACCAAAATCTCATACCCAAAAAAAAAAAAAAAAAAAAAAAAAAAAAAAAAAAACATGTGCAGGTATAAAGATAAATAATGAGGTACCGTTACCGCCTCCTGGCCGGCCTCGCGCTTTTCACCGGCACCTGGCGTCGGCCGAGCAGCCAGGCCGTTCCTGCCACGCGCAACCCCCGGGCTTCGGCTCCGGCACGGATCGGGCCGCGCTCATCTGCCTCTAAGGCTGCCGGCCAGCCGCCGCCATAGGTGCCTGCCTTTCCAGCCCAACACGGTGAAGTGCTCCTGGGACGGGGTGGGCTCCCCGCGCCTCCCACTGCCCTACGGCTTCTCCGCCATGCAAGGCTGGCACGTCTCTATGGAGGATGCTCAGAACTGTATCCCTGAGCTGGACAGTGAGACAGCCATGTTTTCTGTCTACAATGGACATGGAGAGGAGGAAGTTGCCTTGTACTGTGCCAAATATCTCCCTGATATCATCAAAGATCAGAAGGCTTACAAGGAAGGCAAGCTACACAAGGCTTTAGAAGATGCCTTTTTGGCTATAGATGCCAAACTTACTACTGAGGAAGTCATGAAAGAACAGACCCAAATTGCAGGGAGACCCACAGAAGATGAGGATGAAAAAGATAAAGTAGCTGATGAAGATGATGTGGACAATAAGGAGGCTGCATTGCTGCATGAAGAGGCTACCATGACTGTTGAAGAACTGCTGACACGCTACAGGCAGAACTGTCACAAGGGCCCTCCCCACACCAAAACTGGAGCTGGGACAGGCGAGGAACCAGGGATCCAAGGTCTCAATACGGAGGCAGGACCTGAGGACCCATCTAGGGAAATTCCTTCACAGGAAAATGGCCCCACATCCAAGGCCCACACAAGCCTTTCTTCCGACTTGGAACGTGCAACATGAGTTATTTGTAAGAAAATGGATCCACTTTGAGACCTTAATGTTAAGTGAAATAAATGAGACATAAATTTTAAATGTCGTATGGTTTATCTTATATGAAAAAAATATATATATATGAACAAAATAAAAAGATAGATTATAGGAAATAGAACAATAGATCCTTTGCCAAAGGGAAGAGGATCAATCAAGAGTTGGAGCGAGGGAGGGGGAAGAAAGAGATGAAAAAAGAATTAAGCTGTGTTATTCATGGGTGCCAACCAAGAATGTGACCATTGTGTGCTGTAAATATGGATTAGTAAAAAATAAAGTTAACAGAATGAACTTTAAGTTACAGAAGTAATAGGAACCAGATTACATGAAAACTCCACAATCTAATGATAAGCACTGTTAGCTCAGTGTGATGGTGTATACCTGCAACCCTAACACTCAGGAGGCTGAGGCAAGCGGGTCAACTGTATGTTCAAGGCTAGCCTAAACTAGACAGTGGGTCCTTGCCTCAAAAAAACCCTCCAAAATTAATAATAATAATAATAATAATAATAATAATAAGCAACTCTGTTGAGCAAATGGAGGATTTTTAAAGGTTGATATTAAAATTACATAAGGTTGCTAAATATTCTTTACTTCTGAGCTTCATACAAAGCCCAATAAACAATTTTAAAGGATATTCATCATATTATTGCCTATAATAACAAAATAAAAACATCTGAATATCCAACTTCAATTCACAGGACAGCCTAATTATAGGGTTCTATGCCTACCATCAGAGAGGTGGTATCAAGAGAATGTTTAACAGCAATCTTATAAATACTACACAAATTGTTACTACTGCCTTGGAAAATGGAATGTTCTCCACTGGGTTCAAGTACATAAGAAAAATTCACTTTCTTTTCTTTTGGATATATTCTTTTGATTAAATAATCTTGGTCAACGAAAGCTGAATTATCATATTTATTTATACAATGTGATTATGATGTGGTTCAATTTTTAAAAATGGGAATTACTCACTGTCCATTGTGCCAGGGTCTCTGATACCTATGAAAAATTTGAGGAAAGGCTCTTTGCTTGTGAGGAAATCGTAAAAATAATCTGTTGGACTCCACTTAAAAAATGAAGATTTTCTTCTTAATATACTAATTACAAAGCAAAAAAGAAAAATGAAGTTTTATCTTGAAAAGAAATGGTGAATTTGACACACGGATGAGAGGTGGTAAGTATTCCAGCAGAGGGAGCCACTTCTTCAATAATCCAAGAGGTGGGAGCCGATGACAGGTTCAGGAAAATCTAAATTCTGTGTGACTGGAGGGAAGTAGCTGCACACAGGTATAATTAGATTCACAAGGGATTTGTTGGTAGCAGCACTGTGATGAAAAATGAGAAGGAGATGGGAGGAGGAGAAAGCTTTCAGACCAGGATACAGTCTGACATCAATGGGAGGAAAAGAGGGTGCAGTAAGATTGCAATTCTGAGAAAGACCCAGCTACATCCACAGGAGACCACAAGTTAAACTGCCTCCTAAAAGGTCCTGCGTCTCATAGGTATGGATCCCTTTCCCAGGGAAACTGTGGCCTCAATGCGAGCACACAGGCAGAACCAAAGGGAAGCACCTAGAGAAAGCGTCGGTCAGGCCCTGACAGCAGGAACAGGTGCATGCTGGGACCACCACGGGTCATGTTTCACAGCACACAAGTCCACTGTCCTACTCAGGATTTAGGAGCTGCCCTTCCTAGAAGCAATTCAAAGAGTAAGATGAGTCATTACTGTGTGTCCTCAGGGCCACAAATGCTCATCTTTTTCCTTCTCCAAGATCCAATACAAGTTTCCCCCACCTTTCCCCCACCTGAGCAGGTCATGGTGACTGACTCAAACCTTCTCTCTGAGGATCCAAGTGACTGGCCAGTGTGTCACTTTCAGACTGTAGCCCTGTACTGTCCCCTCATGGTCACAATGGAATGCTATGATGCCTCTGGTCACCTGAGCACAGCACTGGGTCTCCCCCGCCTCCATTGTGTGAAAGTAGTCTTACTTATTCTTCTGGGCAGGATCAGTATCTTTGTCATGATAGTGACATTGTTTCTTCTCAGTTGATCTTGGGACACAAGGGTCTAAAATGCCATTAATACTGTGTGATGAGTCCAAGAGATAGATTCTAGGTTTCTGCATATGGCAAAGAATTGCAAGTGTCCATCCAATGGTAAACAGAAAACTGGCTACATTTATTGAAGATAACAGGAAGATGTGCTCAGGGTAGCCTCAACAGAAAATTGGTGTTGGAACAGCAGAGGAGCAGCAGGAATGAGGATAAATCAGGCTTTCTGATTTTAAAAGATACATTCTCCACCTCAGATGTCTCACATTAGATCTCTAGATGAGACAGACAGAAATGATTAGCAGGATGCTAAGTCATCTCAGGGACACCTGAGTACCAGTGTCTGTCCCAGAACTCACTCTGATTTAATCACAGCCATGAGAGTCAGTCTCTATGTATGAACCTGTAACAAGTTTCAAGTGGCAAGAAGATTACTGAACATCAGCACACAAGATCTAACACGGGTGCTCTGGCTGTAGCTTTAAAGATTTCCTGGAACTTTGTTATCTTTATTTATGCTTTTCTTGGGACATACAAAGAAAGCTTCAGCCTAGAGTGTTGCCTAAATCCAGGTGGATGGAGGGAGTGTGGCCTTCCAGCCTTAATCGTGCTACCTGTACTCTTCTGATAGTAACCACAAAGAACACTGTAGATTAAGACTCTTGATGTGTCACCTGAGGAACGGTGTGTCCTTTTGAGAGCAACAAACTTCAATACTAAAGAATGCAGTTAGGAGATGAAACGTCCCAAACCCCCTTTCTGCCCATTGGTTTCCACACCCATTTGTTCATACTACAGGAACCCAGCACAACAAAGGAGTCTCTGATGTGATGTGTACACTAAAGTTTATTTACATGTTACTCAGCTTCATTTGAATAAGGATAAAATTACTTAAAAGACTTTTTCCATACAAAAATGTACATTACATGGTCAAACTTCTCTACTTAATTATAAAACTTACACAAGTATTGAGCAAAAGAGCACATTTAAAAACATTTTACTGGGGCAACCCGCTCAGGTCCCAATTCTGTCCCTCTCTAGAACAGCTTTCTTTCCCCCACTAAATATATTCTGCTCTTTAAAAAAAAATTACCGAGATCCAGAGCACAAGCCCGGCAAGTGAGTGAGATGACCGAGGGCCCGGCGGGATCCTGAACAGACCCAGAGCACAGGCCCAGCAAGTGAGTGAGACGACCTGGGGCCACGGGATCATGAACAGACCCAGAGCGCAGGCCTGGTGAGTGAATGAGAAGGCCCGGGGCCAGCGGATCCTCATTTAACCCAGGCTGCAGGCCCAGCAGGGAACCCTTCGGCAGAACTCCCTGCAAGGAGGCTAGAGGCAAGAACCATCCAGCTGATTCAGGAGCAGAACATCTTCCCAGAGAGACACAAAGGGTTCAACTCTAACACCTGCAGCAGAAAGAAGTGGAGCACAGCAGCCAGATCCAAACAACACCCACCTGGAGGAATCTGAACTTCATAGATCCGGACCTGGTGCTAAGGTAATAACTCTATCTAAGCTCTACACAAAAGGTCGGAAGATAGGTATACAAAATGACAAAGAGAAGGAACAAAATGCAGTCTCAGGCCCCGAGTCCACCCAGTACAAATGCAGAAGACATTAGCACTGAGGAAACTGGAAATCACACACCAGATATCTCTGAAATAATAGCGTTGACAGTAAAGAATCAACTGCAGAAAG